GAAGATCCCAGTCCAAGCCACTGTCCGACTATAGCCACGTAAGAACCCAGTAAAGACAACGGGCCCATTCCCATTACACCCAGTCAACCCACAGAATCATGGGAGAAAAAAAAATGGTTGTTGTCTTAAACCACAAAATTTTGGGGTGGCTTGTTATGCAACAATAGAAAACTAAAGGCAGCAGGAATGATAAAGTAATTGAAGCGATCCAGAATTTAATTGGCTAAGAGATCAGACTTCAGTAACCGCCGGAAACCATTAGGTCCAACAACTCAACCCAAAAGAATTTTCCTAAATTGAAAGCAAAAAGCATTTTATTAAGGGAACCAGAAATTAATAAAAAACTCTCTCTCTCTCTCGGGCTATGGAAGTCTGTTGTTTAATTTAAGGAAGGCTCCAGGCTCATTTTCATCGCTTGTTTGGAAAATTGCGACAAGCCATCGATAAATAATTCCTCACAAAGGAACAGCCTTCAGGTTTCAAAGCTCACCATGTTTTAATTTTACCCTTAAAATGAGAATGTGATGTAGTTGATCTTATTCAAAGTGTAGATAGGGCGGGAGAGGTCCCCGGAAGACATGCCCTCTGTGGTAACCTGTGGGGTTCTACCTGGCCACCCCCCAGGGAGTTCCAGGGAGGAAGAGATGCCAAACTCCTGACCCATGGGGTTTGAAAATGCTGTGGAATATTTCCACTCGTGGTTTTCAATTCAGGCTCAGTGAGTATTCTTAGCAAGGTAAAAATGAGACTCCTCAGTCAAGACAACACAAAGTCCGTATGATTAGAGAACAGCAATAACAGCTGCAATTTCACCATCAAGTCCTATTCCAAGACACTCAATGTCTTACAAAAACATTGAATTTACAAGTATTTATCCATTAGTGAACACAAGTGATCTTAGAAAAGAGCCGTAACAGATGCTGAGCAGTCACTGAGATTGGTTGAGTGGGGAGTCTTGCTAGGCTCCTAACGGCCAATTTCTGGGAAAATGGAACCTCGATTTCTCATAAGACCTCAATCATCCCGGATCATGGTGGCAATCCTGATACGCATACTCCGAGTTTCCACTCCCATGCTTTGAATTTATGCCTCACATCAGGCAGGTTTAAATGACTGAGTTAATCCATCTGTAAGCTTTTCAATGTTAAAACCAAAGTATAGAGAAGAAGCACGTTGTCTTAGGGTATTTTAGGAATCAAACCACATACTTTTAAAAATCACGAGTGCTTTTCTTGTGTTAAGAACCGACCCCAAGTACCAAAAACAGACTCTTAGCTATGGAGAACGCACGGGGTGGGGGGGGGAGTGGGGACGAGGTAGGTGATGGGATTAAGGCGTGCCCTTGTCCTGATGGGCACTGAGTACTGTGTGGAACCGCTGAGTCCCTATATTGTGTACCTGAAACTAATAGAACACTGTATGTTAACTATACTGTAATTAAGAAAAAAAAAAACCAACAACACACAGAAGAAACCCCAAGGGACTGATCAGCACCTTATCTGTGCGGCCAAAATCGCTATGTAACTGTTAGGGAGGCAGGCAGAGAATTTCTTCAGGCACCTATGAAGGAAGAGGAGGGAGGGTCTTAATCCATGGCTGCCTCCTCAGACAAAGACCTCATGGAATTTTGGTGGACATACAGCACAACTGTCTGTACCTAAGAACATTTTCCAGAGCACAGATGTTTTTCTCTTAACAGTGAATGTTGGCTGTCTTGTCCCAATCCTTTTCAGTGCTCAGCAGACGGGACGTTTTTGGTGTCTTGTCCCCTATAACTTGGGGGCTGTTGTTCATTGCTGGCTGGAAAACACATCTTTGACGAGACAGACATGAAAACTCATCTTTGGCAGCTTACACAAAAATGTTTCCATTTTGGGAAATTCCCTGTGATAAAAGTGTGTTTCTGGCCCTGGGCATACACATAAGTAGTGAAGAGGACACCTCAGTAAAAGACAAAACAGATTTATGATCGCTTGCCGTGATAGCGATATGCGATTTTAAGCTCCTGAGGATCTTCCTGTTGTTTCATTTTGGAAAAAAGTTGACTCATTTTTCTGGGTAGTACCTCAGTGTTTTCATTAGGGGGTTTCTATAAAGACTTTATCTGAATCATCATAAGGAAAATTATTTCAGAGCTTAGATAAAAGTTCATCTCCCATAAACAGCACGGGCTGCTAAAACCTGCTTGGACTTTAACAAATTACAGAGAAGCTTTAGTCCCAGGAATGCAACCTATCAAGTAAAACAGTGATTTTTTTCAAACACGACCAAGTTCAACTAGTTCAGATAACGCAGGTTTGGGAAAAGCAAGATTGACTAAAAATGTCCAAATATTCTTAACATACTAATTAGGTTAGTTTTATTAGAATATTTTAATTTTGGGGTGCCTGAGGGGCTCAGTTGGTTGAGTATCTGCCTTTGGCTCAGGTCATGGTCTAGGAGTCCTGGGATCGAGCCTTGCATCTGGCTCCTTGATGGGCAGGGAGTCTGCGTCTTGCTCTCCCACTGCCACTCCCTCTGCTTGCACTCTCTATCAAATAAATCTTTTTTTTTAAAAAAGTATATTTTAATTTCCTAGCAATTACAGAGCACTTAACTCTTTACTACAAATAGTTCATTAAATGCATAGATATAGTCATCTGTCAATTATTATCTGTCCAGATCAGTATGCTAAATTATGATCAGGTGCTCTCATCAGAAATCTCAAGGATAAACTAAAATCTCAGTAAATATCCAACTGGTATGTACAGACCACCATTAAAATACCATTTTAATCCTTTGCAGGGGGCAAAACACAATCAGAAATCTTAAGCCTTTCGTTGTTGTTGGTTTTGTTTTGTTTTTGTTTTTTTTACATGGTGGGAAAATAGAATTTTCCAAATAATTGTGAATGAGGCATTGTTCTATAAGACCAAAAAAAAAAAAAAAAAAGAAAGAAAGAAAAAAGCCTTATTTCTGTACCAGTAAATTCCTAACATTGGTTCCTCTTTTGAACTCATTTTGAGTTGTAAATGGAAGGTCTAAGAATCAGAAAAACACAAAGCTATTTTAAAAGTGACTTGCTCAGTATTTCTAGCCTCTGAACCTGGCAAATAACAGTAAAGTGTCAAAGTAAAACCATAGTTTTTCTGGGGAACACAATGGTGAAGGCCACTTCTCTCTTGGCCATGGGCACATAAAGTGCCTTGCCCGTCTGGGGAAGGAGAGCCTGGTGGGAGAAGCAGGCTGCACGGATCATTGTTCAAAGTCATGGCTGGTTGTGAGCACCCTGAATTGAAGTTCTAGAGAGTTCTGACATTCGAGCCATGAGATGTCCCCAAATTAGAAGCCATGTTCAAAAGTTCATAAAATGTCTCTGTATAAAATCATACCCAGATCTTTAGAGAATAGGTCAGACCTGCATGATTTAAATACCATCTCAAATGTCACTGTGTGAAAAACCAATTCAGAAGCACATTGCCCATTACTGCCTGAAGCAAGGATGTTTATAAAATGGACTTTATCCATACCACACTTATTGATTTAAATATTTTATTTATTTATTTATTTATTTATTTATTTATTTATTTGAGAGAGAAAGCATTAGCAGGGGGCGGTGGGGGGGGCAGAGGCAGAGAGAGAAGCAGACTCCCCACTGAGCAGGGAGCCCCATGTAGGGCTTGATACCAGGACCCTGGAATCATGACCTGAGCCGAAGGCAGATAGATGCTTAACGACTGAACCAACCAGGCGCCCCCTCATCAAAATTTGTCCCCAGGTTCCCTCTCTCTCTAGCTGGTCCTGTCCACAGCTATGAAGCTATGCTCTTGCTACAACCTGTAAGAGTCACCTGCCCCCTCTGAGAAGTGAGAATGGTAATTTCAGTTTGGATCTGGGGTTGAGGATTTTATATCAAACAGGGAGACACTCTGCCTCTCTCGCTGCTAGTCTGAGACAAGGGTGGGTGGGTTAAAGCAGATCACAACCTCTGGAATTTTTAAGTTGTATGCTCTTCCCTGGTGAACTCCTATTATAATGTCAGTCTTCTGGGAGGCAGGCAAATACCAGGCAAAAGAGTATGTTAAGTCATGGAAATAGCGCCAATGCAAATATTTAGGGCTGGGATTTAAGTCTATTGTTTCCTGATAGTTGGTCAGCAGGTTTTCGGTTTTTTTTTTTTCCCTCAATAAAATAAGATCTTTACTTTATCATTCACATGCATAAAATTATATAGAAATAACACACAAAATGCTTAGAATACAAATATTCTTTGGTTTACTCATCAAGATAGCAAATAACAAAATAGCAAAAACCTTATCAGTTAAATAAAAAAGTGACTTTCTTTATTTACCTATCAAACCTTATTCAATGTTGAAATGCATTTATTTTCATTCTCATGGCCCACAGCAATATGTTTTCTTCTTTTTTGGCCCTTTAAGCCCCCTACATTATTTGGATGAGCTCATCTCTAAAATAAAGATTGTTGTACTTAGTATTGCTGATTTTTACAAGAACCATCTAGATTTTTCCTTGTGTCTCTTACAGCTGAAACATATACTAAAAGTGGAGAGGCTACCAGCACATTTTTAAGAATTACCACATTTTCAAAGTATTACCATTGGTACTAAAAAACAGGACTCCAGTCCCGAAGTATATTTGTCTATTAGACATTAGTCACGACGTCAAATAGAGCTGGGTCCTACAATACTGACTTCTGAGAGGCAGTTTCCTGTTTTTCTGAGTGTTCGATCTGACCTCCTTCAATTCTTGAACGTCTTAATTCTTGATGAAGACCCCATTCTTAACTGTCAGTGACAAAATCTTTAACAAAGGAGCATTGAACAAAAGGGACTTGAAAATGAAATCATCTCAAAGGGAGCAAGTTGAGCAAGAGAGGGTTTTCGGCTTTTTAACCAAGATAGGAATACACAGTAAGGAATAATAGTGAATGAAAGTACATAACTCTCTACACATGAGAAATACCCAACGTGCTAAAGACACAACAACTGACCTAAAAAAAAAAAAAACCAACTCTTGCAGTTTGGAGCCATCCACATTTTTCTTTGTACAACTCTCTATTTGCATCACACGACCAGAGACACCCTTCCCACGATCTGCGAACTGTTAGGGAGGGAGCGTTTCACCAGAGTTTTTGGCAATCTGCTTTTCTTCAAATAAAACAAGCTGCATAAAACATTACTGACAACGTCGGATGCCTGAGCTGGGCACCAGTCTTTCGGAAACATAGGTCACCTTTAAAAAAATTCGTTTTTCCTTCATAAATCAGCAGTGCTCCGTTTTCAAAGAAATCATGAGCAGTCCCAGTCTTAATGCACATGATCAGATGTTCTCCTCGTCCAGCATTTTGTTGACACCATCGCAGAGTTTTTGTAAGTGGGGCTTAAAATTCCCAAAGGGGTTATATAAGGCCGCTAAGAAATCACAATCTGAGAAATGGTCAAAGACGTTATTAACCCGTCCGTGCGACTTGGCCGTGAGATGACGCTGGATGATCTGGTGAAGCATCTCTCTGCACTCGTTGAGCAGACGGGATAACACGTTCCGGTCAAAGGTGTACTCCACCTGGTGGAAGCTGACCACGGTCATGGCCAGCTGGTGAACTTTCTTCTTGAATTTCTCCATCAGCGCCAGCTCGTCTTGGTTGAACTGGTTATTCCTGTAAAGGATGGCCAGCTTGATGACTGTCTTGATGAGGTTCTTAATGATCTTCTCTGCCTCCTTCTTGTTCTGGGTGTACTCCTTGGTCACTCGATAGAGCTCGTCTAGCACCTCGCTGCTTGTGTCATCGATGAGGGTGGTGGCGATGGATTTGGACACCATCTTCCCCAAGATCTTCTTTTGTGCCTGCACGGCCAGGTTTTTGGAATTGAAGACATCTGTGGCCACTACAAAGAAGCAAATTTAAAAAAAAAAAAAAAACAGATATTAAGGACGATGTTCCTTCTCACTTTTCCACTATATGGTTGCCTTCCATCTACTGACATCGGTTTCTGTTCAGAAAAGGCTTAAAACTTTACTACACTTCTGGGCATTTGGTTCTCCTTCCTTTTTTCCTTCCTTTCATTCCTTCTTTCTTTTCCTTTCTTTCTCTTTCTTTTTAAAAGATTTCATTTATGTATTTGACAGGAAGAGACACAGAGAGAGCACAAGCAGGAGGAGAGGCAGGCAGAGGGAAAAGCAGACTCCCCACTGAGCAAGGAGCCCCATGCTGGACTCGATCCCAGGAATTAGGACCGGAGTCGAAGGCAGACGCTTAACCGACTGAACCACCCAGGCGTCCCAGGTTCTCATTTCTGAAAAGAACAGGTTCTTGAGCATCATCGTTAAGGTCTCCAGTAACTCAAGTATTTTATACCTTCTGTTATACACTCAATACTTTGTTTAGCAGTTGAAGGTGACAATCTTTCCAAAGATAACTTTTTCTGATTATAAAAAATGTTACATCTCACAAGGCAATGAAATATTATGCAGTTTCCCCCAGTTGAGTTTTATAAGAAATACATCAAAAATATAAAATCAACTCCACAACTGTCCTCTGGGCACCAGTCACCAAGAAAACTTAAAGAAACCCATTTAAATGTAAGAAGGATAAACAGAAAAGCCATACTAAGTAGCAAATTCAAGAAAGCAAATGAAAAGGAGAGCCCTGCTTTTTTTTTTTTTAAACTTCATTGCCATTCTTTTTTTTTTTTTTTTTTAAATTTTTTTTCTTTATTTTTCAGAGAGAGAGCACAAGCAGGCAGGGTGGCAGGCAGAGGCAGAGGGAGAACCAGGCTCCCTGCTGAGCAGGGAGCCCCAAGCAGGGCTCGATCCTAAGAACCTAAGGTCATTGCTGGAGCTGAAGGCAGATGCTTAACCAACTGAGCCACCCAGGCGTGCCCCAAGGAAATCCCTGCTTTAAACGTCAGCTGCAGAAAATTGAATTTCCTAAGACATTGGCCCGCCCCTTCCAGTTCAGCCTAACCAGCCCAGATTTCAACTCCCAGAAGTTAAGTCTTAGAAAAGAACAGTCATTCTTTGGAGAGCTCATTGTCTTTTGCTATTTCTGATGAATGACTGTTGTTCGTTCCCTTGAAACATTTACATATTCTATTGAAATAGCCACACTTTCATGAGCTCATGAAATGTGCTCCATGAATAAGACACTGTGAAAAAGCTGAGGCTCAGAGTTGGCTTTTGGAATTACCATCACTTAATTTGACGGAGGTGTAAGATACACGTAATAATCGTTGCACATATTAAGTACGAAACGCCGTGTGATGCTCTTAGCTTACAGCTGGTCAGTGAAAATGCTCAATACATACTTACTCCTCAAACCAAGTTTAATTTTTTCCCTAAATATCCCCCCCCACACCCCCGACACTCTGTGCATACTACTCCACCGAAGTGTGAGCTTTCTTCCTTGCCTTCTGGGTCCTCCAAGCTGGAGTTTTAGGGGTCTCTATCCCCACTCTGGGGCCCAGACCTGGATATTTGAAAGCAGTTGTTTAGTAATGAAAAATAAAAAAGACTAAAAGTACAGAGAGGTAGGAATGAGTCAGGGCATTAGCGATACACAATTCTTTCTTTCTTTTTTTTTTTTTTTAAATTTTATATATTTATTTGACAGATCACAAGTAGGCAGAGAGGCAGACAGAGAGAAAGGAGGAAGAAAGCTCCCCGCTGAGCAGAGAGCCCGATGTGGGGCTCGATCCCAGGACCTTGGGATCATGACCTGAGCTGAAGGCAGAGGCTTTAACCTACTGAGCCACCCAGGCACCCCCACAATTATTTCTAGTTTGGACAGGCTAGCGGCAGAAAGCAAAAGGGCAGCTGCTTCCCAATCCAGGTTGGGAGAGTGTCTAAGAAGAGAGACTCCCTCCAGGTGGGGCTGTCATGTTCAGTCCCACGCTCAGGCCAAAGTAGCTCGTGGGATACAACCCAGGTGATGCTAAGTGGTTCCTACCCACCAGGATGCCATTCATTAATAGAAGGGCCACATGCCCTGAAGGAAAGGCTTCCCTGAACCATAACCTCTGTCCTCACAGATGTCGATATCTAAACATCTGAAACATGAACTGAAATTGCAGAAGAAGAACTGAAATATATTTTGAGAAAGAAAAGGAAAGCGAAAAAGCATGAGAAACGGCCAACGTGTGAAGGTTTCCAAGCTGTTTCAGATTTCCATTGGTTGCACCCAATTCTATTCCTTAAAGGTTTGCAAAAGAGTGCATGGGTTAATCCACATTAAATCGTTTGTATCAAAATAAACGGACACACATAGTTACTGTTACCACATTAAGACCAGGGACCGTCTTCCGCTGTAGAACTTAGGAGACGGATTTCAATAAATAAAACCGTCAATAAATAAAACTGATTTATACAGGAAGGGATACCCCCCACATTTCAGATCCATGGGAAATAACAACGATCTCAGAAACTCACATAAAATTGGAAGGTTATTCGGTGTTGCAACTGCTAGGGCCTGATACGGTCTCCCAACACCCCGTCTCCCAACACCCCGTCTGGGATTTACTACAATGTCTATTCGATGGAAACACTGTACACTATGAAATCACCGGAACCAGCGGGAGAGCAGTAAAAATCCTCTGTGGTTCTCTCACCAAGACCGGACTTGAAAGTCTGCACCTCTCTTAAGCTCCTTAGCTCATTGAACCTCAAAGTTCCATTTGCTTTCAAACATAAAGACAACAGGAAACGTTCTTTCATGTAGTATCCCTTGAACTTTCCACAAGAGAAAGTGTGAAAAGCAAGGCCATGGCCAGCAAGATTGCTCCCAGTTTAGCAGGAATGGGTCTCAACCAGGACGGAGAAGCTGACTTCTGAGGCTTTCCCAGTTGCTGCCCCAGAGGAACTGCAGACCCTGTTCTAGAAACACAGCGGCCACTTCCTCCTTTCGTTCTCTTCTCTGGGTTATGTCCAGCTTGGTCATCTTTGAAAGGGAAGCTGAAGCTCTTTCTCCCCCTGTGCAGGGAAGGCATACATGCAGAGGATTTCTTTCCTAGCACTGGTGAAGGCTTCCTTGAAGCCAATGGGGGGTTGCAGCTGAAAACTGCTAGCCAGGGTTGTGTGGTCTGTGATCATGCAATATGATTTTTTTTCCCCTTGCAAATTAACTGCCTTTAGCCATTCCTGCTCAGGCTCATTTGTCAGCTCCGCACCCTCTACCAGATCCCTTAAAGGCCTGGTGTATCTCAAGGCTAGTCCTGGATCACATTTTTCTCCTCTGCTCTACCTTACTCCCATGTGAGCTCTTCCATTCCCGTGGCTTCTGATGCCCCTCAGGTGCCAGAACTCCCACACTTAGAACTCACTCTGACCCCTTTCTGGGACTCATTTTGTAAATGCATTCAGGGTTTTCCTTTTTCTCGGCTGTTCTGCAGGCATTCCAAATGCACCATGTCTACGATGGAATCCTTGATTCTCCCCTGTCCCCAGTGCAGTCCTTCTCCATTCTGCCTTCACGAAGAGCAGCCCTTCCAAGCATTTGCTCAAGCCGGGGGTTGGGGGGAGCCTGGCCATCCCCACCATCCTCTCTCTCTTGCCCTGCCCATGACCAAGAGCCTTCCATTCTCCCTTCCCTACTTCCCTCCATCTCCTCGGGTACCAGCCTAGTTCAAACCCCTTTCCAATCTCTTCTCACTGAGCAACCAGAGCCTTTCAAAATGTAGATTAGAAAAAGATGCTGACTTCCAGTCTTTGTGAACCAACGCCCTTACATACTTCCTCCTGACATCCTCCTCATTTGCCTAAAGTTTGATGGTCTGCCTCTCCTCCCTAGACAGTAAGCTCTCTGTGAGCAGAGATGATACATCCGTGCCCTGGGTCACCCTCTGGGCCCCCGTGCAGGCGCCTGCTCCATGGCACTTCTTACAGAAGAGGAAGCCCACTTCCCCTCTCCCTTTGCCCCACTTAAACGCTTCCCTATGAAAACTTGCTGGCCTGAAAAATGAGAGTTTTAGATATATATGTTGGAGGGGGGGAGGGTGTTTGTTTTAAAAGCTAGAGAAACCGGTATTTGTTTTACCTAGCTAGCTATATGGTTTTCTTCTCTCGCACTCAAGAGTGTGGTTTCTTTTACTGTCGTCATTCAGGTCTTTGTTTTTTGTGGGTTTTTTTTTTTGTTGTTGTTGTTTTTTAAATTTTTTAAAAAATTTATTTATTTATTTGACAGACAGAGAGCACTAGTAGGCAGAGAGGCAGGCAGAGAGAGAGGAAGGGAAGCAGGCTCCCCGCCGAAGCAGAGAGCCCGATGCGGGACTCGATCCCAGGACCCTGGGATCACCTGAGCCGAAGGCAGCAGATTAACCAACTGAGCCACCCAGGCGCCCTGTTGTTGTTGTTTTAAAGAGGACAGACTCGTTGCACACAATGAGAAAACACTGGAGGGCAATAATACAAATATTTAGTATAAAAGCCAATGCAATGGTTTTGCCTTGCATCTGAGCCCTCTGGCTACAGTAGAAGATCAGACACAGGGTCTACCTGCTCCAAGCCCAGAGAGGTCTATGTTTAAACACGTAACAGAGGGACAGATGCAAGGTACATCCTGGGAAGCCACAAAGAGGTGAAAATATGGTTTCAGTGTTTCATCAAGATGAATTCACTTGCGGCCTCTGGGTGGCTCAGCCAGTTAAGCATCTTCCTTTGGCTCAGGTCATGATCCCAGGGTCCTGGGATGGAGTTCTGGACTCTTTTGCAAATGCATTCAAAGTTTCCCTTTTCCTTGGCTGTTTTGCAGGCATTCCAATGCACCATGTCTACAATGGAATCCTTGATTCCTTTGTGCCCCCCAAAGTGCTCCTTCATTCTACCTTCATGAATAGCAGTCTTTCCAACCACCTGCTCAAGCAGGAAGCCTGGCCATCCCCCACCACACCACCCTCTCTCTTGCTCTGCCCATGACCAAGAGCCTTCCATTCTCTCTCTCCCCACTTCCCTCCATCTCCAAGGGTACCAGCCTAGTTCAAACCCCTTTCGGGCTCCCTGCTCAGTGGGGAGTCTGCTTCTCCCTCTCCCTCTGCCCCTCCTGTGCTCTCTCTCACTCTCTCGCTCTATCTCAAATAAAAAGATAAAATCTTATTTAAAAATCTTTAATAAAAAAAAGAATTCACTTGTGTTTGGAAATATGTATACCCTTGACTAAGGAAAAATGATGTCATATATCAAAAACATACCAAGGACTGCCACTGGCAAGAACGTTGTATAGAAAGAGATGTAAATGTTATTTTATGCCTACTTATCTTTGGGCCCTTCCTCTATATCTCTGTATCTCCTGTCTTGGTTTAACGAAATCATCCACATCTGCAACACTTGCTGTAAAGCAAATTGATATTCATGGAATTCCAGTTTTTAGCATCAACAACTATAAGTTTGGAGATAAACACTGATGGTAAAAATACACTGACCCTTGTGTATAAGGGGAAGAAATGGGCTCATAAAACAAAAACAAAAACAAATACAAAAACAACCCCCCCAAAAACCCCATACGAACTTACCCTAAAATGAATTAATGAAAAACTACAGTTTGCTGAAATTAATAGTTCTCTAGAATATTATCGCAACTAAGACACTGCTCATCCAGTGAAGCCCTCAGGTAACTTTCCTTACAACCTCACCAGCAAGTGAATAATTTCATCACCCATCAGATTTGTTATACTTGGAATTTCGAAGCAGTGACTGTAGATGTCCATGGATGCCATTGCTAATTCCCGCCTAGTTAAACCCTGATCCAGTGGGCCCAGTCTTAGGAAAGATGGAAAAGAAAACAATTTAGAGAGCATGTCTGGTTGTTGAGGGGTGTTAATAAAAGTTCTTTAAACAAATATATAAGACCTTAGCTCTCTCGTACCTGAGTAACTCCGAATCTAAATGCGGCTTAGTAAGAAACAGTGGGGATAAGGAAGTGGTCAGAGCAAAGTGTAAACAGTGTCCCAAGAAGTCAACAGGCTAAGAGTTGCCCTCCCTGCCTTGCGATCTGGTGAGCTCCAGTGGAGAAGCCAGGAGTCCTTGGAATGGCTGGCGAGGGGTCTGTGACACCAGATCTCCACACTCAGAATTCCCCAAGTGAGAAACTCATCAAGAGGAGAGAGGAGAAACAACGAACAAGAAAAAAAGAGAGGGAAAGTGCAGGGGAGGGGAGAGGGTGGCAGGCAGCAGAGGCAACAACCATGACAGCAAGCGGGGGCCGCCTTACCCAGAGAGGAGGAGACACCTGCCAGACACCTGAACCCTCAAATCAGCCTTGGGTCACACAGAGGGAGGCCCTGACATAAAGAAACATTGTCTTAGGAGGATCAGCACGCCTGGAGTCCTTCACTTGATACTAAAGGCAGATTCTAGTGTCTTTGTCTGTTCCTGTCCCCAAGTGGCTGAAGACCAAGAGCATGCATCGTCACAGGGACAAGCTAGAGCATTCACTTTGGGTCTCCTGCCACCTCCAGAAGGAGTACACCCTCACTTTAAAAGGCAACATAATAGGGGTGCCTGGGGGGCTCAGTGGGTTGGGCGTCAGACTCTTGGATCTCAGCTCGAGTCTTGTTCTCAGGGTCTTGAGTTCAAGCCCTGCATTGGGCTCCATGCTGGGCAAGAAAAGGGGAAAAAAAGGAGGCAACATAATAAAGAAAACACATGTTAGGGAAAATGGTGACTTTGAAATGGGCCGAGAAAGTGAAAAAGGAAAAAAAAAATCACTGGGTGGCTTTTCAGTAGAGAACCAGGAATCATAAAGTATCCTGTCTATTCCAGATTCCTTTTACTGCTCTTCAAGGAGAGACTCCATAACTGTACAACTGTACATAACTGTACAACTCATACTGTACAACCTACAAGTTGTACAGACTAGCAGTACTGCAAATGCCTCTTGTCCCTAGAGATACAAATCCATTTTTTCCAGGGGACTTGCAACTCAGTCTTCATTTTCTTGTTTGCCTGTGTCGTGCTTTGGATTTTCCCGAACCACTTATAAGAGCTTACTGGTTCCTCATTAATTAGTGAGTTCGGTTAAATCTTTGGCATGCCCGTTTTGTATTTTTGGGAGAGTCATGAGTTTACCTTCTTAAAAACAACTTTCAATGCATATTAGAATTTTTTCATCCATACCATTTAAAGTAGAAAAATTGCAGCATAAACCTTTAGCATACTAGTGAGAATTAATATACATTTCCTGCAGTAACTCATTCCACCAGGCGCCTGGAAAAGAAGGGTGTACTCATAAAAGTCCAAAGATTCTGTGTCTAGTGGTTCCAGGAACTGCCATGCCACTCAGGAATACAGCTGAGACTAGGTTTCCCCAACTGTCAGATGAGAATAAATGATGCCCAGTTCTGGGAACTGCCCCAAAAGGACTGGACATAGACCACCTAGCGGGGGTCTCACTCAATGCCTGGCACAGAGTATACTTCTCCACAGTTTTGTTGGAAGAACTCAACAAACTAAACTTCGAATGCATTCTGATGCTTTCGAATACTGAATCACATTTGGTCAGAATTAATCAACTCCTTCTGGACAAAATATGCAGCTGAGAAATGCAAAAGACCAGATGGTTGTGTGAAAACAGAGACCTCAGTTTAATAAGGAGTTACATTTCCTTTTCCATGATGACAACATATTAAAGCTTTCTCATGGAATTTCTCCTTTTTTAAGGCGTTGAATCTCTTGTCCACAAGGACTCTGATAGGTAGTGTAAGGGTATTTTGTTCAAAACAAACTGACCAATGGAGAACAGAATCGAAGACAAGAGGAGAAAAAGCATCACTGCCCATGCAAAACTGTGCAACTGGGAGAGATGCAGAGCAAATGGGCCCAAAGTAAAGTCAAAGCAAAAACCCACAACTGGCCAACAAGATTACCCCAAAGAGCACAGCATCTCCTGAGGAGTCTGTGAACCAGAGAACCAGCAACCCAAAGGCAGGACAGAAAGCCAAGTAAGAGCAGCATGAAGTAGACAGAGGCCCAAGGTCAGGAGTCCCGAGCTGTAAATTTGAGTGCAATTTAATTCTTAGAACCTCGGTTTTCTTATCTGCTAAGTGGGACTTCATTTCAAGTCAGTATGGCTTGGAGGAGAGTTAATGAGTTAGGAATTTGAAAACATGCAGCCACAGGCTAGGATCGTGACCACAGAGCCTTGTTCCCTTATTTAATACCCACTGAAACGGAGAAGCAGGGATTCCAACCCAACCTAGACACTCACTGTGTTCTCTCTCCTCGTAGGTCCCGATGTTCCCTGTTTTCCGAATTTGTAGACAAGAGAAATTACGTCCTAAAGAAAACACTCTGAAGCCTTTCCCTGTGTGATCTCGGGCTGTTTCTGCTGTTTGAATTCTGGAATCTCTTCATTGTGATTTTAGGATCAACTCCGCGTCCTTGACTTCTGTGGCTTCGCGGTGTGATGATTTTAAAATTGAAAACGTAATTTCCTGAGTCTCAGCCCCTTAACTTCATATTAGACTTCATCTCTGCTCTTTTGCAGTCGACTTGCCAAAGGAATCATGCGATGCCTTGATTTTTTTCTTCATGGCATAAACTCTGGCAAGATGTCTCTTCTGCCTCTAGCTTCACCCAGTACCAGGATTGGAAGAAAGGCTGGCGATATTTCTATGAAGCAGACCCCAAAGAATGTCTGTCTTGTAAATATTAGTACAGATGACACAAGAATAGAAATGACTTTTGTGGTTACCCAAAGTCAGACTGAGAGGTTCATGGTCATGAGGACTCACTGGCTAGCCACTGAATTTTGAATGTTTATTCAATGATCCCCAGAACCACCCAGAATCTGCATATCTTATTGAAGCTTCACAACAATCCCAAGAGGGAGGTTGTTATTGTCCCCATTTTACAGATAAGGCCATTGAGGTCCAGAGAAATTAAGTTACTTTCTCAAGGCCATATAGTCAGTAAGTGGGAGAGATGAGCTTGGACCTAGATATGTTCAACTTCACGCTATTCTCTCAAGAGTTACATTACACGACACGAGCTTTTAAAAAGAGGCTTCTTCTTGAAGGTATGGGAAAACCTAATATATTCCGCAAAGCAACATGAAAGGAAGGAAAAGAAAACAAAAGCAAGAGACTACTTTTCCTCTGGTGAAGGAAACAGATTCCATATAAAGAAGATCAAACCAGCTGGGTCTAAAATAGCTTGTCTTTTCAGGGAAAACCCTGAGCAGTTTTTAAACATTTTAAAAGATAATGTTAGGAAACAAAAAAATATGCTTACACTGCTCAAAGGCTAGATGTAAATAGATAAAGCAAAAAGTCTCCCAGCTTTGCCCTCCAACAATACAGCCCGGACCCCAACTCCTGCTTCTCAGAGGTGAAAAGTGTTCTTAGATTTCTGGGACCCTTTCAGAGTTGGGCTTTTTCGTGCATAGATAAGAATACACATGAACAGATACTGAGCAGTATGAAGAAGTCTTACAGGCTTGTAATTCTTAAGAAACACAACTTAAAAAAAATTTTTTTTTTCACGTTGGCTCCACACCCACCATGGAGCCCAATGCAGGGCTTGAACTCACGACCCTGAGATCAAGACCTGCACTGAGATCAAGAGTCTGATGCTTAACTGACTGAGCCACTCAGGCATCCCAAGAAGTGCAACTTTTGAGTGAAGACAGACAAACTGTGTGAGTGTCCCTAGTTCCATGCGAGACTGATACAAAATGGTAGCTGCTAGGGGGACATGGCTGTTAACAGCACGACGAGTCCTTCCGTGAGCAATGAAAAGGTAGTGAGTGTGAAACACAGATCTTTATTTAACGGAGGTGAACAAATGTCATGATTAGGGCAATCACAGATTATCATGGAAATGGAATACCTCTGAAAAGAGGACTATTAGTAATTACCCCACGACAACAGGCCTGTGACTATTCCAGGGAAGTCTAAGTGGTCACTGAAGATGATTTACGCACTGAAGACACTCAAATATTTAGGACCCGAGAAATTTCTTGGGAAACCTCAAGAAAGCAGTAGCCAGCTTATCTTTCAAATTACATTAAAAACAAAACAAACCAAAACCCAAAAATCCTAGCTCTTTAAGAAGTTAAAAAAAGTCTAATGGGGAACAATATTCTCTCTGGTGAAAGAAATCTGGGGGACAGTGTATACTAAGGTACCCCTTAAGAGGCACAAAAAGCATTAATAACATTAAAGTCTGGAGGATTAGTAAAACAGTCAAGAAACACCATAAATTTATTTGCACAAGTTCTCCAAATGAATTACAGAAAGGTCCCATATTTGCACAAATTTGTAGGTTAAGGTTGGTGAAAACTACTGGCTAACAAATTGACTTGTTATCCCTCTGGAATGAATTCACAATGGTCTTGTGCACATAGCAGAGGGCAAGACAGGTGGTTGGGCAAAGCCAGGCAATGTGAGCACAGACTCCAGAGCCATACTGTGTGGGATGGAAGTCTGGTTCTGCCACTGAGTGCAGTAGTGTCCCTGGGACAAATTACCCAATGGTTCCATGCCTCAGTTTCCCCATGTGCAAATGAGGCCACCTAAGGTTTTTCCAAGGATTCAGTAAGAATGACCCATATAAAGGGAGAACATGAACCCAAAGACATGAGTCATTCCACAAAACTTCTGTTGAGTGTTTGTTATGTATCGGATACTGTGGTTTCAATGACAAATACCAGTATCGCCGCTCCCCAGGCCCTCAGGGTGCCGGGGTGGGGGGATGGTGCAGAACGCACCATGACTAGGTTTATAACAGGAGCCTGTTAAACATGCAACAGTAGCAAAGAGAGGGAACATTCATTTTGCTGGATGCAATCATGGAGGGAAGCTAGGTTTGAAAAAGTTACCACAAAAGGAGATTGACCCAAAACATTGACCTTGAAGGAAAAGAAGATTCTGCCTTCCAGAGGTAAACATGACCATATTCTAGAGCTGACCTATAGAATCTCTCCCCCACCACTCCACCCCCCCAGCTGGAGAGGGATTAACAATTCTGCCCAGGAGTAGCTGTATATCTCCGGTCAGGAGCCCAAAGATATGTGCAGACCCCATAGATTTTAGAAAAACTGGAAACACTGAGTATAACATGTTGTCTAGGCCAAGAGAACTCACAGCACAAAGATGCTCCATTTTCAAGAGGATTAGTGGCAGGGAGGGGACATCTACAGTGGGTATCTGGGTCAGGAATGTCAATGACACAGGCCACCTGCCTCAGAAGAATCCAGAAGCTTCTTAAAAGTACAAACTGCCCTCCCTACTGAATCAGAATCCCCAGGACTACAATCTAAGAAGTTGCATTTATGAGAGGCACCCTATGTAGTTTGGATGTATAAACACTGAAGTGTACTCCCAGAACGCTACACTTTAAAAGGTTCAGTCAGAGGGACCTGGGTGGCTCAGTGGGTTAAGCCTCTGCCTTTGGCTCATGATCTCAGGGTCCTGGGATGGAGGTCCGCATCCAGCTCTCTGCTCAGCAGGGAGCCTGCACCACCCCCTACCACCCGCCTGCCTACTGGGGTTCTCTCTATCTCTCTCTATCAAGTAAATAAATAAAATCTTTAAATAAAATAAAATGTTCAGACAGACATACTTCGGTCACACAGGCATGCTCTAAGCAGACCCTGGATGGATTTAATTCCCTCTCAAAATATTTTCACCAAAAAGTAGATGTGGGATTGTGCACAGAATCCAAAGAAAATGTTTTAAGAATAGAGCTTATTGTAGTAAAGCCTCAGAGAATTTTAATGCTATGTCCAAGAGAACAGAGAAGTTAGTCTCTCTTAAATGCTACTTAAACCAAAATTTGGACAGGTCCTAACTCTATCACTCATACAGGTTTGAAATAAAATAAAAAATGTCCTATAAGCATTTATGCAAAAGTGATTTTAGTGAACTGTTCTTCTTTTAAATTAATTGAACCCTTCCTTATTTATTATGTTGGATTAAGATAAGTGATGTTTCTCTCTCCTTTTTTTTTTTAAGATTGTATTTATTCATTTGACAGAGAGAGAGAGCGAGCAGGAACACAAACAGGGAGAGTGGGGGAGGGGGAAGCAGGCTTCCCGTGGAGCAGGGAGCCCGAAGCGGGGCTCAATCCCAGGACACTGGGATCATGACCAGAGCCAAAGGCAGATGCTTAAATGACTGAGCCACCCAGCTGCCCTGGTGATGTTTCTCTTAAAGATTTTTCAATCAAGCTGTATTTATTTACACATTTCTCAAGGTCATGAAACCTTTCCACTATTGATAAAATCCTATCTTCTGCCAGAGTGTGGAGGAAAATCCTCTAAATAAACTCTATGATTTTATTTTTTTCTTAAAGATTTACTTATCCATTTTAGAGAGAGAGAGAGCGCACAAGAGAGAGCATTTATAAAGAGGCATCCTAAGTGGTTTGGGTGGGGCAGGGAGGAGAGGCAGAGAGAGAGAGAGAGAGAATATCTCAAGCAGAGGCCCCTCGGAGTGCGTAGTACAGAGCGCAACGTAGGGCTCAATCCCAGGACCCTGAGATCATGACCTGAGCCGAAAGCAAGTTAGATGCTTAACCAACTGAGCCACCCTGGCACCTAAGCTCCATGTTTTCCCACCCTTTTCCAGCTCCACGTTTCCCCACCCTGCGAGGCGCTCTGGCTCCTGATGAATATTTACACACACGCAGTGCTTAGAAAATCAGTAACGGGTTTTAAAATCCAGCACATTAAAAAAAAAAAAAATCCAGCACACAAGAGTGCAGTTTCGTTACTGAATCAGACCCTAAAACAGGCATCAGTAGTCCATGTAGCCCTTCTGGTTTCATCAGGTGACTCCTGGTTAAATACTACAGACAATCAGACGATAAAAGTACAGCTGACATTTGTGTAGCACTCCTAAGTTTGCAAAATATTTTCCCAGTACCATTTTTTGGGTTGATCAAACTGTTCTGGGTTATTCCTCTTAGGACTTAACCCGGAGGCAACCAAGTGAGAGAGCCAAGATTCGGAAGTCAAGGGACATGTCCAAGGACATGGCAAAGTCAAGGTCTGCTGCTTCAGCCTCAGGCACACAAGCGCTCCATAAGCAAAGTGCATTTCAGATGGTTTTCATTGCTTATGAATTGTCCATCAAATGCCATGATGTGGCTGAGTCAGCTTTAGCATCCCACTTCTTCTTTTTTTTAAATACTTTATTTTTATTTATTTGACAGACAGAGATCACAAGCAGGCGGCGGGGGGGGGGGAGCAGGCTCCCCTCTGAGCAGAAAGCCCGATGCGGGGTTCGATCCCAGGATCCTGAGATCATGACCCGAGCTGAAGGCAGAGGCTTAACCCTCTGAGCCCCCCAGGTGCCCCTAGAATCCCACTTCTTAGAGCTTGTCTGCTTCCCAGGAGGAAGCAACTCCTTGAATGGGAAAAACAGAAGGAGCACAGGTCTTCCACAGTCGAGAACTCAGAAAAGCTAAGCATCTACCCTCCCCCTCTCCCTCCATCCCTGCTTGATAAAGTCCAGCTCAGCCTTTAAAGGCAGCCATGTCTACCATGAAGCTTTTCCAAATCCAGAGGCAGAAGGATCTCTCCAAATCTCCAAGAGAAGAAATCTCTCCTTCTTTTAATGTGATTTTCTGCCTTGTGGTTGAGTTAAATTCCAATCTTATCATACTTGATTATGATTCCTGTCCGCTGAGGGAGCATGTCTGTTCATCTTGGTGTTCAAATGTGCCCTCTGGCCGGCATGGAGTGACCTTTG